GCAGTGTAGGATCTGCGGTCCCTGAAGGGGAGGCCATATCAGGTGGATGCCCGCTGCCTCAATAAAAGCCTGGAGGAAAAGCTCCATCTTTAGGGGCCCTGCGGAACTGTAACAGGACCCGCAGGGCCCTGATCTCATAAGGGAGCTCATTCCACCAGGCGGGGGCCAGGGCAGAGAAGGCCCCGGCCTTAGTTGAGGCCAGTCGGACATCCTTAGGGGCCAGGGACTCCCGGGAGATGCTGGTTTGCAGGACGCAATGGTCTGTGGGGCTCGTCTGGCGAAAGGCCGTCTCGAAGATATGCAGTGTAACCCGTCTGTTGCCTGTATCATTTACGCGAAAGGGCTGCAACAGTGTAAGGACCCTGGTTTTGATTTGCCGAACTGCGGGATTTCCCCGGTTCGAACCGTTTTGTCTGTTTTGAGCTCACCTTCCTAAATCCTGTCCAGTTTCTCACAATACAAGAACTCGTGGGCACTCCATGAAATTGCTGAGCGGTCGGGTTAGAACGGATAAAAGGAAGTCCTTTTTCACCCAAAGAGTGATGAACACTTGGAATTCACTGCCACAGGAAGTGGTGGCGGCTACAAGCATGGACAGCTTCAAAAGGGAATTAGATAAGCATATGGAGCAGAGGTCCATCAGTGGCTATTAGCCACAAGGGATAGATAGGGACTCTGGGGCAAGTGATGCTCTGTCATCTTGATGCTTGGGGGGGGGGGTCAACAGTGGGAGGGCTTCTAGTGTCCTGGCCCCACTGGTGGACCTCCTGATGGCACTGGTATTTCTGGCCACTGTGTGACACAGAGTGTTGGACTAGATGGGCCTTTGGCCTGATCCAACATTGGCATCTCTTATGTTCTTATTAACAAGCGCCAGTCCCAACTGGAAAGCTTCACAGCCCTTTCAGCAATACAGGCTCTGCTTTGGGCAGACCACTAGGGAAGGGAGGTTGCAACCACGGCACCGCTGCCATGGTCTGAAATGGCGCAGAGATGGTATCGCCCGGAAGATGCACGGGAAGGTTTGTAACGGTCACGATGGTACAAGCAGACTTAGTTCGGAGTAATAAATAAGCTTTCCTTATTTATTTGAAAACATTTCAATGCTGCCTTTCTGTCCAATTCATGGCCCCCAAGGCAGTGAACATTAAAGCGTTTTAAATGTTTAAAAGTTTTGGTGCCACGCAAGAGAAGGCCTTTCCTCACACTGCCATCCGTCTAGCTTCAGGTGGCGGGGGCTTTCAAAACTGAGCCTCCTAAGATGACCAAAGTAGGCAGTCCTTCAGGTATGCTTGCCCCCAAGCTGTATCGGGCTTTAAGAGTCAATACCTTGAACTGGGCCCAGCAGCAAGTTGGGAGCCAGCGTAGATGGAACAAGGGTGGTGTGACACGGTCCCTATGACCAACGCCAGTCAGCATTCTGGCCGCAGAATTCTGTACCAATTGTAGCTTAACATTGGATCAGGCCAATGGCCCATCCAGTCCAACACTCTGTCACACAGTGGCCAGAAATACCAGGGGCCATCAGGAGGTCCACCAGTGGGGCCAGGACACCAGAAGCCCTCCCACTGTTGCCCCCGCCCCCAAGCACCAAGAATACAGAGCATCCCTTGCCCCAGACTGAGAGTTCCTATCTATAGGTAAAGGTAAACGTTCCCTTGCTCGAAAGCCAGTCGAGTCCGACTCTAGGGTTGCGGTGCTCCCCTCCGTTTCAAAGCCAAAGAGCCAGCGCTGTCCGAAGACGTTTCCATGGTCATGTGGCCAGCATGACTAGACGCTGAGGCGCACGGAATGCTGTGACCTTCCCACAGAAGTGGTACCTATTTATCTACTTGCAATGTCTTGCTTTCGAACTGCTAGGTTGGCAGGAGCTGGAACTAGAGACGGGAGCTCACTCTGTCATGCGGCAACCCGGGTCTCGAACTGCTGAACTACCGACCTTCCACAGCCTGCAGTTCAGCGTCTTAACCACTTGAGCCACCACAGCTCCTATCTATACCTTGTGGCTAATAGCCACTGACGGACTTTTGCTCCATATGCTTATCTAATTCCCTCTTGAAGCTGTCCAGTCTTCAAGGGCAGAGCCATGCAAAGCACACTGCAGTGATCTAATCCATGTGTTAAACACTCTTTGGACAGTCTTCAAGTCTTTGGACAGTTTCTGGACAGTCTTAAAGGGCAGACCCATGCAAAGCACACTGCAGTGATCTAATCTGGGAGTTAAACAGACGGCATGCACCACTGTGGCATGGAAGGCTACAAAGGATACAGCTTGTTGACCCCCAGTCTTTTCTGTTTTCAATAGGAGTAATCCAAGTGAGAGCCCACATCTCAGAGCTGAAATTTGCCGCCGCTTCCTCTCCATGTGGACAGCTTGTTTTCAATGCTCGTACTTCCCTTCAGCACATATTTGATTCTCTTTCTCGGATCACCTACCCAGGCTGTGCAAAATGTGGACTTGAACTGCAGATGGATGACAACAAGATCTACAAACAGTGCCTTAGCTGCGTGCCCTTGAACAAAGTGAAAATGTTCTACAGGTAATAACGGCATTGAGAAAATAAAAAGAGTGAACTGCCAGCAGCGGTTCCATTGAAATCCAAACCTTTGTTTCAGTGCTGCTGTGGAATGGGATGCACGTGATTCGTATATTTAAAATTCCCCCCACTGCAGTATTTCAGCTTATTTTTAGAAAGACAGAACTTTCTGGTTATTTTACAGTGGAATGCATCCATGCAAAATTTAGCCGACTCGCTCGACTGAATTTTTTTTAAAAAAAAACTTTGTGTTTATTTCAAGTTTTTTAAAAATACAATAATATTATACTGTGTCAATGCGAGATACAGTATTCACTAAACAAAACAAGAACACCATAAACCATAAACCTTCACCAAGCACAGGCTAAGAGCACGCGCTTTAGGTGACTTATGTGAAACAACAATGCCAGCACTTTTTTAAAAATTGTACATCTTTCGTTGCAAAGTGTGCTGTGCAATCCTAAACGTATATGCTCAGGAATAAATCTCATTGAGTTCAATGGGGCTCGCTTCCCAGTTGCGTGTTTAGGATTGCAGTTGTAATCTCTTAGAATTTCTTAGAGTGAATGTCAGTGTAGGAAGGGGCTAAAGTCCAGGTTTATATACGTAAAAATATGGAGGCCTCCGGAAAACTATTGGACGATGCTGTGTTTTGTTCTGAGTTTGAACACAGTTGAGAATGTTGTTTCATTGAAAGCTAGATGCTGATTAATTGTTTCAGCAAAATCTTTTGGAAATGAAACATATTGCTAACAAGCACTAGGTGGCAGTAGAAGATAAATTCTGGTGGGTTGCCGTGTTGGTCTGAAAGAGCCGAACAAAGTGAATCCAGCGGCACATTTAAGACCAATCAAGTTTTATTCAAGGTATAATCTTTTGTGTACACACACACTTCTTCAGATACAATGAAATGGAAATTACCAGTCCATACATATAGGTAGAGGGTGAGCAGTAAATTAGCCTACAGCGTAATGAAGATGTTTAACAGATACAAGGACCAAACAGGAATAACAAGCTTTGTTTATACAGTTACCATTTGTTTGGGTTTAATTCCAGGGGGGAAACATGGTGATGGAAATAAATATGACAAAATTGGAGATGGATGGGCAGATGTATTCGTAATTGTGGAATGCTGAGAGTAATTAACTGAGATCCTGCCATTATGTTCCATTCATCTCCTCTCAAGCATGGAGGCGACCTTACAGCATCTTCTTCTTTGCAATGCCGTGACTGGCTGTATAGAGTTATCTTCCCTGTCCTCAGGCCAGTGAAATACATTCCAATCTACCATTCCAAATTATATTACATTCTACTATTCATTATGTTACATTACAATCTACTATTCTAATCTATTATTCCAAATAAGAAATAAAATAAAGAGGACATATGACCTTTCTGGGGGACTGGTGAGAGTACAGATGTAAGGGCTAAATGAGGTTAGCATACGTAGTGAGATAAGAAACCAATATCCCTGTTAAGTCCTGGGGATTCCAGTGTTCTGAGTGCTGTAATAACTTACAACTCTGCAATTTCCCTTTCTAGTCTGTTCCTGAAGTTACTTTGCAATAAAACAGCTACTTTGGGTGACAAAGGAACTTCAGAAACAGACTAGAAAGGGAAATGGCAGAGCTGCAAGTTATTACAACACTCAGGACTTAACAGGGATATTGGTTTCCTATCTGGAATAATAGATGAGAGTGTGGCATGGGAAGGAGCTGTGGGAGGTCATAAGTGGAGGGGCCACACTTGCTCCCATGGGCTCCCACTGGATTTGTGTGGCAGAGCACAAATAGGAAGAGACGCTGCTGAGTCCCTATTGGCTGCTCATTGGAACCCAGCAGGAGCAGGGAAGGAGTGCATTCCTCTGCACACCATTGGAGCCAGATGCACCAGGAGGCAATGACATATGCAAGGCACACCTGTCGTGTCTTCCCCTGTCAGCCCCTGACAGTTTGGCTTCCCAAGCAAGCACTTGGGTGGCAAACCAGCCCTGAAATCAGGGCTCATATATTCTGCTTTGTACATTTCTGCGGTGGCTCAAGTGGTTAAGACGCTGAACTGCAGGCTGTGGAAGGTAGTTTGGCAGTTCGAGACCCAAGTGTGCCACGTGATGGAGTGAGCTCCCGTCTTCGGCTTTGAAACGGAGATGAGCACCGCAACCCTAGAGTCGGATTCAGTGGGAAGGTAACAGCGTTCCGTGCACCTTGGTGTTTAGTCATGCCGGCCACATGACCACGGAAACGTCTTCGGACAGCGCTGGCTCTTCGGCTTTGAAACGGAGATGAGCACCGCAACCCTAGAGTCGGACTCGACTGGCTTTTGAGCAAGGGAGACCTTTGCCTTTACTTTACCTTTACATTTCTGCACTTACAAGCAAGATAAATATGACAATCAGACGTCATCTCTTCGGTGTACAAATGCCTCGTATCTCTGAATACCCTTTCTAAGAGAGTTAAAACATGTTTAAATAAATTATCAATAGAACTTTTTTTGCCTAAATTGGCTGCAGTCTAAACTTAGCTGGATTGAACTGCGAAGTAACAAACCCAGAGGTTACTTATTCCTGAAACACATTTCTCTTCTGCCCGCCCCCTTTTTGAAAAGCAGACTGCAGTGGTTTGTTTTGCATTTACAGTGATTAATACTTGTCTCGTTTAGGAAACCACATGCAACAATTAAGTAAAAATTACCTTTGTTTGTCCTTCCTTGTTCACTTGATTGTCGCTGAAACTTCCTGCAGCAAAGATTTAGTTTAACAGCCAGCCTGGAGGCTCAGAAACAAAAGCTGTTTTTGTTCCTATTAACCACGTGCTGTGAATATTTTAAAGGCTCTTTTCCTGCTGCTGGGTACTCTTGGCTATCAAAGAGTTTCTAAAAATCTTCCCCTGTGTGTGTGTGTGTGTGTGTATTTTAAGAATGTCAGGGATTGTATAGGGTAAAAAATGCCTTTGCAGGCAAAGTCCTGAACTATGTTGTCATAAGAACATAAGAAGAGCCCTACTGGGTCAGACCAATAATCCATTTAGTCCAGTCTCACCCAGTGGCCAACCAGTTCCTCTGGATGGCCAGCAACAGGGCACAGAGGCTGAGGCCTTCCCCTCATGTTGCCTCCTGGCTCTGGGATTCAGAGGCTTAGTGCCTCTGGATGTGGAGGTTCCCTTCAGTCACCATGGCTAGTAGCCACTGATAGAGTCATCCTCCATTAATCTATCTGACCCTCTTTTAAAGCTCTTTATTCCTGTGGGCATCACTATCTACTCTGGCAGCGAATGCCACATTTTAATCACTCTCTGTGTCAAACAGTATTTCTTTTTGTCTGTCCTGAACCTACTGCCCATCAGCTTCATTGGATGCCCTTGAGTTCTACTATTTTGGGAGAGGGAGAAAAAGTTCTCTCTGTCAGCTCCCTCCACCCCACATTGTCAATCAAAGGGGCAACTTCTGAGACACAATCGTTTGCAAAAAGTTCCATTGAGTCCTCAAACGCCACCAAGACAAGATCCAGGCTAGGAGATCATGAGGGGCAGAGCTGTCACAATTTTGCACCCATTTACTCTGTGTATTGCAGCCTTTAATATAAGTGGCATGGTGCTTTCACTGGGGTGGGGGCATGAGGAAACCAACAGCACGGTGACATAGCACTATACATTTCTACTGGCAGTTGCAGCAAACCGAGAATAAGGAGTTATAGGGTTTTCCTGTATGGGTTATTCCAGGGCTCTTTTTGTAGAAAAAGCCCAGCAGGAACTCATTAGCATAATAGGCCACACCCAACAGCAGGAACTCATTAGCATATTAGGCCACACCCCTGACAGCACAGCTCATTGGCACATTAGGCCGCACCCCCATGTTACCAGAAGCGTGGTCATCCAGCCACACCCACCTTTTGCTTCTTATTCTGTTTACCTTGTTTGTTGTCAAAACCCAGGGCCTTTTTTTTGTAGCAGGAACTCCTTTGCATGTTAGGCCACACACCCCTAATTGTAGCCAATCCTAATGAGTTTCTGCTGTTGGGTGTGGCCTATTATGCTAATGAGTTCCTGCTGGGCGTGGCCAACTCAGGAGCCAGCCGGAACTCCGTTCCTGTGCGTTCCTGCCCCAAAATAGCCCCGGTTATTTCCATTGGTTGTGCACCCATATGATGTCAAGTTTCTTTTTCACTTTTCCTGCACATGTTTTGCTCCCTCTAGTGGTCGCTTTGGTCTTTCATCGCTGTTTCTCCGTTGCTAGTCGGCTTGGGTTTTTTTTTGAGAAACAGCTAAGCAAGATCAAAGTGGCCACTAGAGGAAGCAAAGAACATGGGGGGGGGGGTGGAGACAACACAGTATGGGCTCACAGCCAACGGAAATAATGTGCAGATAAAATCCATGGTGTGGCAACAGTTCAGCTCCTTTGTAGCATCTACTTTGGACCAGAAAATCTAGATTCGGGATAAGTGAAGTGACAAGTCTTGAGTTCCTGCAAGAAAGGTGGAGAACAAAGTCTGTAAACAAATGAATAAGCCTCCCAAAATGGAGTTAGTGTGGTAATTCCCACTGAAATGCTCTCTACACTTATTGCATCCCTGCGTCAGAATGCGCCACAGTGGTGCCTAGCCTCACCCTGCTGGCTTGTTGTGTAGTTCCTCACAATTCTGTGAGATTTTCAACAGATACGTCTACTAGCGGTCCCTTCTAGGGATGGTCATGAACTGGGAAGATGGAGGTTCATCGCGGTTCATGGTTTGCAAGCTCCCAACACATCTGTGAGGTAGGTTAAAGGTAAAGGTCTCCCTTGCTCAAAAGCCAGTCGAATCCGACTCTAGGGTTGCGGTGCTCATCTCCGTTTCAAAGCCGAAGAGCCAGTGCTGTTATGCTAATGAGTTCCTGCTGGGTGTGGCCAACTCAGGACCCAGCCGGAACTCCGTTCCTGTGCGTTCCTGCCCAAAGATAGCCCTGTCTACCCTTATTGCATCCCTGCGTCAGAATGCGCCACAGTGGTGCCTAGCCTCACCCTGCTGGCTTGTTGTGTAGTTCCTCACAATTCTGTGAGATTTGCAACAGATGCGTCTACTAGAGGTCCCTTCTAGGGATGGTCGTGAACTGGGAAGATGGAGGTTCATCGCAGTTCATGGCTTGCAAGCTCCCAACATACCTGCGAGGTAGCTTAGGCTGAGCGTATTTGATTGACCCAAGATCACCCAGTAAATACTCCCTAGTAACTTTTGACTGAAAGGGAGCGCTTTCCCCGCAATGCAGGTACAAACAAAGTACAGTCTTACCTTCTTATAGAAGCTGCGGTGGCTCAAGTGGTTAAGACGCTGAACTGCAGGCTGTGGAAGGTTAGTAGTTCAGCAGTTCGAGACCCGGGTGCCGCATGACGGAGTGAGCTCCCGTCTCTAGTTCCAGCTCCTGCTAACCTAGCAGTTCAAAAGCAAGAAATTGCAAGTAGATAAATAGGTACCACTTAGGTGGGAAGGTAACAGCATTCCGTGCGCCTTGTTGTTTAGTCATGCCGGCCACATGACCACGGAAACGTCTTCGGACAGCGCTGGCTCTTCGGCTTTGAAACGGAGATGAGCACCGCAACCCTAGAGTCGGACTCGACTGGCTTTCGAGCAAGGGAACCTTTACCTTTACCTTTACCTTCTTATAGTTAGTGTGGAGTGTGTAGATTTCAAAAACCTGTGAGTCACAACACACAAGGAGTACGCTAGAGGGACCTCTTCAAATCGGTGAACCTGTAACCACCTTCTGTCTTTTGGCTAGCCGGAAGAGGGCAGGGGAAGGACACGAAGTGGTTGGAGGGAGAGTAGCAGTTGCGGCCGAAACCAAATGTTGTTCGTCGCAGTGGAGTCTGAGTTCCTCTTTCACCGAACAGCTGCATCAGTTTTTACAAAGCACACCTTTCTTGGTTGACATTGCCATGATCCGACAAGGCTGTAATTAGAAGTGACTGTCCCGTGTTAATTATTGATTGCGTTCTCGAATGAAGCGTGTGACCTGCTTCTCTTTGGAATGGCCGTTTAGTTATCGTTGATCTGGAGCGTTTGTGAAATAACTCCTAGGGGTGCCAATAGCTTCTGCTCACATTAATTGCTTGCACAGTGAGGGTGGGCTGATTAGACTGCACTGGGAGTCAAGTGTCCGGGACTTCAAAGCCGAGAACGCCCTTGACTCGAGGACTGGCAGTGGCAAGAGATACGCTTGAGTGTATTTATTTTTTGCTTTAATTATTTTTTCCGAATCATGTGATCAGGGGTCCAGCCACACACCGATACGTGTCTGGAAATGCTTCATTTTTATTGTTCTGCTAGTTTTCTCAGGCTTAGTTTGAGCTTGGGTTTATCCCCAGCAACTAGCTTTCAGTGCTAGGGGCCAGCAGCAATGCTCCCTCTGAGCTGTGGAGTCCTGTGAGCAAAAATTCTACTTTGTGAGCTGCTGGCATTAAAGTTGTGAGCGAGCGATTTGGCTGCTGCATAAATTAGTTTGCTCTGGAGCCATCCTTCCTGAGCTAAGGCAAAAATGTGTGAGCCGGAGGCTCAAAAAACTGTGAACTAGTTCACACTAGCTCAGCTTAGAGGGAACACTGGTCAGCAGTATGCACAGTATATATGTTTGTGGTACTTATGTGTAGGCAGGGGTCATTTCGTAGAAAAAGAGGTGCAGGAGCTCATTAGCATAACTCATTAGCGTAACTTATTTGCATACGCCACACCCCCTGGCATCACCGGAAGTGTGTCAGAAGGCAACACCCACTGCTCAGGCTCCACTGGACTGTTTTGGATTGCTAGCTATTGGGGGGGGGGGAACATGCAGATCTGTCCTTGCAGAGGAGGGAGAGCTTGTACCTGAATAAAATTTGGTCTTGAACGTCCCACTAGACTGTTTTGGACCGTGGGGCCTGGGGGGAGCTCTGCAGCTTACCTGGCTGCTTCTTGCTCTGACTGAGGGCTGCTGGGAGCAGGGGGTGGGGCTTGGTGCATGTGCCCGCCCCCTGGGCTCTTTACTGCCGGAGCGCCGCTCCTGTGCGCTCCTGCAGGAAATGACCCCTGTGTGTAGGTGACATATATTGCAGGGACACTCCCGAATGTCACCAACAAACTAAATGCAGAAGGAAGTCAGTTTTTACATACCCTCAATATACAGTGTTACTTGTTCTAGAATCAAACAATCCATACCAACAACTGAGTGGTGGTTGTTAATTTCTGTGAGGAAGCATCGGGTGGGTTCATATGAGAACACCCCCTTCCATTTGACAGCAGGTGGTGTTTTGGTTGTGGAGCAGTGGGTAAGATTAGCAGCAATGTTTGAATCTAAATATGCTCCAGATTAAGCTGGAAGAGCAGTACAGCAGCCTGTGCTGTGGTTCATTTTTCCGCCTCACAATAAAAGTGTGCCTCGAGAATAATCCCATGTGGTTGGAAACTTGGAGAGAGAGAGACTCTTCTCCCACCCCTTGGAGATCTAGAAGAATTCTGAAAGACCAAAGATGCAGGATCCCTGAAATATACACACACACACACCAGCAGGTAGTGATCGAAGCCACACATTTGAGCATGTGTACAGCATGCTGCACCATCATTCCTGAGCCTGCCTTCCTTTTGGATGTGTTGGGTAGGCCTTCAGGATAGTGGCAAGCTCTTATACATAGGATCTCATTTTTTAGAAGCAAAACACTGTTCTTCTCAGTGGGGATCCAAAGTGGCTCATGTCATTCTCCTCTCTTCCATTTTATCCTCACAACAACCCCGTGAGGTAGAGTTCCCATGACCCCAATTCTCAAGCAGTCCTTGAGATCTGGATTTGTGTGTCTTAAGATTCTCGTAAGCGGTGATCCCACATTTTCTTTCCAGGGAATCAAAAGTGGCAGGAAATGATACCCTTCTCTTTCCAAATCTGGCTCACCTCACACAGCACCTTTGGAATTGTTCTTATGATTTTCACTTGATTTTTACTGTCTCGATGTTTTATGGTGCCAATTGGCCTTGTAAGCCGTCCTAAATAAATAAATAAAATCAAGGCTAAAGTGGGGGGAAAACCCCTTGCCACATAAGAATAGGTAACTGGAAGTGGTAATATCCGTAATTATCTTAATCTGTAAGAAGAAGAAGAGAAGAGGAAAAGATTGGATTTATACCCTTCCCTTCCCTACCCAAAGGTGTCTCAGAGCGGCTTACAAACTCCTTCCCCTCCCCACAACAGACACCCTGTGAGGTAGGTGGGGCTGAGAGAGCTCTGATAGAAATGGCTCTTTTTCAAGGACAGCTCTTATCAGAACGATGGTGTAACGATTCCTTGTTTTTGGTGTGTGTGTGTGTGTCTCTTTAAAAGTTTGGTTGCATGGCTGTGGTAAGTAGACTAGAGTGGTTGAGAGAGGCAAGTGTGGTATGATTGGTGGTTGACAGAGAGGGGTAGGGGTTTTGGAAGTGAAAATGAGTGGATGAGTATGTATGTCAGTCAGGTTTTACAGTTACAGGTTTGACAGTTGATAAGT